GGCAGGCAGCAGAACCACTGAGCTAAATCCCTGGCCCTTTTCTTACATTGTTTTTAGAACAAGGTATGAGAAGTGTTGATGAATAAGAGGCAGATCTGACCAACTGCTCTTGTATCAGGAAGGTTTATAAATTGTATCTTGGAAAGTGATTCTAAACTCTGAATTTTCTTTGTACGAAGTCTTGTTACCTGAATTTATTTCTCTGTTCTTCTACAGCTTCAAGAGTTAGCTTTCAGGGAGTTGTGTGACAGTACTTTTGGGAATAGAAATGAGAAGAAACAGCCAGTATATAAACAGAGGTTTGAGAGTTGATTCTTACGAGAGAAATAGGGAAAGTTAACTCAGGGCTTGGCATTATACAGTTGTCTCTGTTGAAGGGTGAAAAGTAGATGTCATGTCTTTTGGTATGAAGTTAAAATATAGAAATAGCTAGTATTACGTAACCCTTGGTGTTGAAGATATGTTGGGAATGAAACAGTGGAGTTACATCAAAGGCATGTTTAACTTACTTGAACTCAGCTGTATGTGGTGAGCAAAAAGAAAAAAAGAAAAGAAAACCCAGAATTACACCCATTAGTATTCTTGACTGTAAGGAGTAATAATCAACTTTAACTGATTTATGCAAGAAAAATATCGGGAAGCTCTCTGGAGTACCAGTCTTGGAAAATGAACAGGACTTGTGGTTAGCCAGCAGCAAGGGCCATAGCCAAGGTCAGGGCCCAGGGACACTTTTAGTAGGAAGTCAAAGCTGGCACTTGCTGACAGCATCTCAGCTGTTGCCACAAATAAATTTTCAATTACAGTATGCTTTTTCTTCTGTCGCTCACTTAAGTTAAAGGTCTTGGAAAAGGAATTCCTGAGCCTATTTCCCACCGGTTAGAGACAGGAAGAGAGAAAATCTAGGCCTTTGGTTTTTACTGTGAAAATGAAATTGTCTATGTCTAAAACTGAACTCATAGTGTCTATCATTTTTCCTAAACAAAATTCCTCTTCATTCCCCAAATGGCTTAAGGATTAGTAAATGTACTCAGTTTTTCAAGCTAGAAGCTTAGAGGTCATTCTTGACATCTCCTATTCTCTTGGCCCCATGTTATCCTGTCAGTTCACCCCTTAAACATCTTTAATTTATCCACTTATCTGTAATATATCATTATCACTATAACCTTAGCCACTGTGATTGCTCACTTGGTCCATCACATTTCTCTTGTCCACAGATTGACACCACCCCATCATGGGTTTTGGCAAGTTAGTGGTCTGCACTTACCGCTTATTTCTCAGTGGCAGGCCACTCTTTTATACTGGAAGGGGCTGGAGTCCACCAACTACATTTCCCTGCTCCCTTGGCTATGTCCTTCCTGTTGGGTTTTGTTATTTGGGGACGCTAGAGGGAAGGTAGGAGAAGAGACTTCTTGTTTCTAGTTTCTGTGAAGGTAATACTTTTTTACTATTATCAAATGTGATAAACTTCTTTATACATATAGGCTTGCTGTGCAAGGCGTCTGGTCTATAGGAAAGAAGAAAATAGATATGGTCTCTGCTTCCAGAATGTGAGATATTTAGAGGTGTAATTAATCAGAGTTGGGTCTGAATTGGTGATGAGATTAAATTATGAGATCTCCAAAGCCCATTTTACTTTAAGGCTATTGGTAGGAACTAAGACTTTATGGTGTTATTAGTTGCCAGTATTTTTTTTTTTGAAGGGGATATCAGTGTATACTTTATTGCATTAATTTATTTTTTTTTGGTACTGGGAATTTTAAATTCAGGACCTTGTGCAAGCTAGGGGCATACTCCTAGCCCTTTTTAAAATTTTATTTTGAGACATGATCTCACTAAGTTGCCCAGGCTAGGCTCAAACTACTGACAAGTATTTTCTATCAATTTTCCTCTTGAATTACTTACTTTCTAAATTTTATTAAGATATTTTGGTGTTTTACTTGATTATATATCTCCTATCTTAATGCCAGAGAAAGACTGAAAGATTTATTTCTAGTCAGGCTGAAAAACCTACACTTATAGAGTACTTTATCAGTTTGGCTTTTCTGTAATCTGTGTAGCTTAGGTATTTGCACTTAATAAAAGTGAATCAGTGTTTTGTAATTCACTGAAATTTTAATGAGTTAATTAAATTTTATCTTTTAATAAAAATGGTTATAGAATAAATACTTATAAATCTGAATATTAAATTTGCAATTGATATAATTTTCTAATAAGAAACTATATTACACTAGTGGTTTGCATTCACTGAAAATATAACTATAGTTATATACTATGCATATATCTGGCAGTGTTATGAGGTAGTTGCTTTTCAAATAATCTGGCTACTTTCAGAGACTTTGGAGTTCTTTTCTTCTCTAACATGAAATACCTCATTACATTTTGTAAGTTTCACATCACAAAAGAAAATTTGGAATTTGAATTCAAGCCAAAAAATTATAGCCTAGCAACTTGTTCTAAAGCCTGAAAATTTATGTGTGTGAGAATCTCTAAATACCAACTGCTCAATAATTTCTCTGCTATCTTGCAGATGTAAGCTGTTTCCCAAGAGCAATCTTTTGTAGTAAATTCTATCCTCTAAAGCCTTTTCATCCTTAGTTTTTTAAATCTGTTGATATACATGTACACAGATAGTGTTTCTTTTTAACTAATAATTCTACTTGAAATAAAAAGGAAGGATATCTATCTGTATCTCAGGCAAGAGTACCAGGCCTCTGAGATTTAATATTTATTCTACTTGTACATTAAATTTAATTCTGATTCATTGTATATTCAGAAGAGGCAATCTATTTCTTTTTCTTTTTAACATTGTAAGATTTTATTAGCATTAAATCATCTTTTCCCAGATTATGTATATGTAATACTAATTAGGTTAAATTATGTTAATTATGTTAAATTAACATGCCAAGGTTAAATTTAGGAGACAATGAATTTAATAATATAAATGTACTTATTTATATGTTTTATGGTGACTTTTAAGTATCCTATATCTTGACTTTCTAAGAGAAAGATACAGTGTTTCCCTAACTTGTTTTTCTGTGAAATACCTATTTATTGACTATTGAGCTTGCAAAATACTGGTCCTGGTCCTTAAGCAACATGATGGATTGGGTCTTTAGCACCATTTTTGTAGATGATATCATAATATCATATTGCTTTTTATTTGATTTTTCCTTATGTTGATTTAAATTCCTTTTGAAACACAATCCCAGAGGATTGCTACTACTTTTTTTTTTTTTTGGTACTAGGGATCAAACTCAGGACCTTGTGCTTGCAAGGCAGACATGGTGCCACTGAGCCATATCCCCATCCCTACTTACTTCTTTTAAGAAACCTAAATATGTCCTACCTACTTGGAATTGGTACTTCAAAAAAGTATATAAAGAGGATCTCAAGAACTGAATATTCCTGTTAGTTTTGAGCCTACTGCTGGCTTGGCATCTCTCAGATGCACATTCAGTCCAGACGGGCTGCTTTTACTTCTTCTAGTGAAACCTGTGTCTCCATACTACCCATCTACCTTAGGTACAGCTATTTCAATATATAGTGAAGACCTGAGCAATCTGTGCCTTTCTGAGGCTCAAGGGGCCCATGAGAGCTAATTATTTTAGAAACACCAGCACAGTAGTCCCACAATAGAAGCCCCTTTGGGCTTTATTATTGCTCTTCCCCGTTTTGTTTGGACACTTCTTTTACTTTAGTCATTTGTTCTCGCCTATACTAAATATGTATACCTTGCTCTTTAGAGAATTTGTTTATGGTAAACAAATGATCTTCCAAATTCTCTATCAGCTTCCATCTCTTCATTGAATGTTTCTTCTGCCTCCGATCTTAATTTGCTTAGTTGTTACTGCTTTTTTCTGACATATCTCTTATACCTTGTGAATAGGGGGTGTCTCGTCTGTTTTCCATTTTCAGGGATTATTCTTCCACTCCTTCACATTGAATACCAAATAAGAATGGTTACACAAAATGATTGTTTCTTTGAGAGTCATGCCTTTTAACCTTATTCTTATTCTTACAATCGGTTTTTCTCAACATTCTTTGAAGCTTTTGGTGCCTAAATATGGTCTTTATTTTAATCCCAAGTCTTGCTGTTAATCATTTGGTAGTCTAGCCTTTCACTCAGTAATTTCCTGAACTTCAGCCCATATAGACTTTACTTTTTGTATGGTGTGAAGTAGAACTTTATGCTTGATATGATCCATTGATGGAAATCAGAGATGCTAACTTGACCATTTGAAGAATGAGAGGTTGTTAAAGTGTATAAATTCCCCCACAGTAGTGATTGGATTTGAGAAAATAAAGACTAATGAAAATTCTTACAGCTTGTGCTTAAAAATATTTTAATTTTATAGTCATGAATGAGAAGAAAAATTGTTCCTGAAATTATATCTTAATAATGATGGTAGTGATTCAGAGAACAGCTAATGTTCAGTTAGCTAGTATGGTAGAGAGAGCATTATTGGATAGTTTAAATTCTGGCTGCAAATCCCTGCTTTTTTTCCGTTTTGCAGTGGAGAAAATAATATTTAGTTCATATGTCTGTTGAGCCCTAAAATGCAATTACAGGTGTGTATATGTTTGTTTTATAAACTTTGTAAGCTTTTGATGTTTAAGATCTAATAAAAATTAGAAAAACATTCTCTCTTTAAGATGACTCATAAGGTTGCTTGTGGATATCACATTGTCTCCATAGAAAATATTTCCTCATACTCTGTTTTAGTTTAAAAGTGTTATTTGTGGTATTTAATTTGCATCCTAGAGAGAGGGATGCTAGTGGACCTTCCTATAGGAAGAATGTAGTAAATTTAAGGGCAACCAGTTCTACTATTATTATTATTATTATTATTATTTGGTACTGGGGATCGAACTCAGGACCTTGAGCTTGCAAGGCAGGCGCCCAAACCACTGAGCTAAATCCCCGGCCCCTCTGCTATTATTTTTTATAACCCTGTTGATACTGTATTGTTAATATTACTTTTTTAATGTTTCATTTACAGTTATATGATGTTGATTGATGGCACAAATGAAGTTTTTATGATTGATAGAGATAACTCAGTGTTTCACGTGTCAAATCTGGAATTTCCATTTCGTAAAGATCTCCGTATGCATTTATCAAATACTCTTTTGGATGGGGTAAGTATTTTGTGTGTGTGTGTGTGTGTGTGTGTGTGTGTATGTACATTATGTATTTATATATAAATTAAACATTGCTGCTTTTTTTTCCCTCATAAGTGGGTATTTTCTATTAAAAAATTTAGAATTGAATCTAATTTTTATTTGGATGTTATCTTCTGCTTCTCACCTGCACTTATTTTGAATTAATGTCCTTTTAGGGACTTGCCAACTTAATTTTTGAACATAAATAGGATTTTGAGGGGTTTTTTTAGTGGGGAAAATTATTAAAGATATAGAAAGTGAATTAAATGGATTGTGTATTGATGATTGTCACTATCAGAATAAGTGAACAAAATTAAATCTTGTTTGGGCCAGAGATTTAGCTCAGTGGTTCTGCCGCCTGCCTTGCAAGTGCAAGGTCATGAGTTTGAGCCCTGGCCCCCCCCCCAAAAAATTAAATCTTGTTTTTTCTTTTTTATTATTGAAAAAATAATTTTTCTTGAAAAAGAATAAATTTATTTTAATATTTTACTTGTCAGTTGAATTTTAAGTCTATAGTACTACCTATTGCATTTTCCCTTGGCTCTTTAGCTATAATCCTTGTTTAAGGATTTAATGCTTTTGAAACCAATCATCCTTAATTTCATAATTGAATTTTTAAAATTGATAACATTTTTCTCATCTCATAAAATCTCTTTGATAAATTTGCTTTGCTAAAAATATGTTACTTTAGGCCAGGCATAGTGGCAGATACCTGTAATCCTAGCACTCTGGGTGACTGAGACAGGAGAATCACAAGTTTGAGCCTAGCCTATGCAACTCAGTGACTTAGTAAGACCTTGTATCAAAATAAAAAATAAATAATGACCTGGGGGTATACTCAATCCCAGTACTGCCAAAAAATAGTTTTTATAAAAACCTTTTCCCTCTTCAACACTACAAATACTGATTCACTTAAATAAAACTAAAATATTCACAAAATCACAAAAATGCTGTTAAAACTCATTGAAATTCTTACTGTATGAGTATCTTCTATTGCCTTTTGATGACCATTGTTCCTTTAATGACCATCATGACTTTCCTTGGTGCAGGTCTGCTTCAGGGATGTATGACATGTTCATAGTAATGAGAGCAATTTAGAACACAGATTCTTAAATAGACTATGTATCGGAATCTTTAGGGATGCCAGGGCTCTATTTCAGTCCCAGAAACATTGTGAATTGTCACAGTACCTCTACCCTGGTTGATCACAGTGCTGTGATCAAATATGAACATACACAAATAGTTATGTAATTTTGCACGAAGAGAACCAAATGATAGGCGTTTTATAACTTGTCACTTTCTCCCTAGCAATTTGTTTTGGACATGTTTTTCATATAAATGTCTGAATTGCATGCTTCTTTATGTAGAAATACCAAAATTTGAAGTTTTCAAACTATCTTGATGATGAAAATTATAGGATTAAAAATTGCTTGTTCAAAGTTACCTTCCCCGATTAGCCCATAAAATTCATACATTGGAATCTTCCAGGGCCTAGGTATCTGTGCAAATGACGTAGAGATTCTGATTAGGCAAGTTTGAGAAAACATTTTGTAATTTATTTGACCAGTTCTCTATTGATGGCCTTTTTTTAGATAAGTTCTCACTATGTGGTTCAAGCTGGCTTTGAATTCGCTGTGGCCTAGGCTGACCTCACATTTAATTTATTTTTTATTTTTTTTGTTTGGTACTGGGGATCGAACTCAGGACCAAGGCAGGTGGCGGAACCACTGAGCTAAATCCCTGGCCCCTGCCCTCACATTTTTTTTTTTGTACTGGGGATCAAACTCGGGACCTTGTGCTTGCAGGGCACGTGGCGGAACCACTGAGCTAAATCCCCGGCTATGCCCTCACATTTTTAATCATCCTGCTGCATCCTCCCAAGTCACTGCATCCCAATTACAAGTGTGCACCACTTGGTTGACATTTTGGGTTTTTTGGTAGACATACATGAAGTTACATTTTGTATTTTTTTCATTTCACAATTGTCAAATATACTTAAGATGATTCTCAGAGATGAGGTTGTATTGTGTATTAGGATTCTCTTGAATACAAATAATCGAAGTCCAGCTTCAAAAGAAAGAAAAAACAAAATGGATTGACTCTTAATTAAAATGTTTCAGCTTGATTGGCTTCAGGCAGGCAGGTCCTGGGGTCTTAAATGATGTTGGCTAGGAACTGTTTTCCTTTCCATTTTTTTTGCTCTAATTGCTTGGCCTTATTCTGCATGAGGCCTTTTTTTTTTTTAACATGGAAAACAAGTTGGATTACACCCCAAGCAAGAAGAGAACTTTTCCTTCTAGCATCCATCTATCATTTTCAGAGAAAAGTCCAAAAAAGCCTTCCTTGCCTGAGTTATATACCTATGCACAGGGGTTGGGTTGGGGTAGGGTGGGGGTTAGGAATTCCATGGCAGAAGTACCAGTGTGGAGTATAATAGAAGTAGTATTCCCAAGGAAGGGGTGGTAACAGGTTGTATAACATATTTGTTGTGTTTGGTTCAAGGGGATTCCCATTAAATTTTTAAAAAATGTGTAATTTCCACCCTTATTTTCAAAAAGTTTAGACACGTATAAATATACATATATAGTGGGTCTGCGCACTATCTTAGACAGTGAGTTTTAATTCATTGTTTTCTAATTTGATGAAGGAAAGAATGATTTTCCATTTTCAGAGACAGTAGAGCAGTGGTTAAAAGGATTAACTCCAGGTACCTAACTGGTCCATCTCTTTTTACATGAGGTACCCAATACAATTTACTGAGTTTTATTATTGTGATATAGCAAGGTTAATACTATTTAGTTTTTGGACTGTTGTGAACATAAGTCAGAAAGTTTGTAAAGTAGTGATGAAAATGCTTGACACATAGTCAAATAAATATGTTCCTCTTCTAATTTGCTGTTATGTGAATTGTTAAAGGTTTAACACTTTTTTACTTCTTTGTGAGTTAATGTGAGTTGCCAGTTCAGATCTTTTCTACATTTTTTTTGTTGGGAGTTCATTTTAAAAAAAAATTTATTTATAAGATTCTTTTTTATCTTATTTAGGGGATCACTTTGTAATTCACATATTTTGAGAAAATGTGTTTTCCTTTTCTTGCATTTCTTCTAGTGCCCAGTAGTTTAAATATATATAAATGACATATGAAATGTGTGTGTGTGTATGTGTGTGTGTCGTAGTGTTAGAGTGCTTGATTTGCATGCATGTGGGCCTGAGATCTCTGGAAACTCACAAAAACAAAGCAAAAAATCCTAATCAAACTATACATATACTGTATATGTGCACATACATGTGTGTTAAATGATAAACACCTTGGTTTATAATATTTGGCTTCATAAAAAATATTTGGCTTTTTGTGACATTTTAAGGGAGGGTTATTTTCACCTCAAAATTACCCTGATACTTGCATTTACTTCTAGTACTCTGTGGTTTAATACATACATTTAAATGATCCTTCTGAAATACCTTTTGACAAAGAAGTAAGATGAGGTGCAGTTTTTAAACATCTAGCCTGTTACCTTAACATTGTTCAGTTAGTTCATTTCTCTTTTTTGATCAGAAATAATTGTTTTTATCATATGCTAGCTCAGTGGTAGCGAACCTATGGCATGTGGGCAAGCAGAGCACTCTGTTGGCACATGCGCCAAGTCATCCCAGCAGCTGAGCATCAGTTTTTGTGTTTTTTTTTAAAAAAACTGAAACCTCAGTTTTCAGGTTTAATTTCAGTGTTGGCATTTTGTGATAAATAAGTTATTGGGGTTGCTATTAGAAAGGGAGAGATTGCTGTAGAAAAGATTTTCTTTTTTTTGAGGTAGGATCTCACTATGTAGTTTAGGCTGGGCTTGAACTCACTATGTAGCCCAGGCTGGCCTCAAACTCATGATGATCCTCTTGCCTCAGCCTCCCAAGTGCTGGGATTACAGGCGTGCATTACCATGCCCGGCTTAGAAAAGATTTTTTTTTTAAACCGGGGATCCAGCTCAGGTCCTTGTGCTTGGGGGCAGGTGGTGGAACCACTGAGCTAAATCCCTGGCCCCTAGAAAAGATTTTTGTTGGAAATGGGCTAAGGGCATTCTGGGTAGGAAATAATGCTTAAAAATTAGTTAGGGTCGGAGATTTAGCTCAGTGGTGCTACCACCTGCCTCACAAGCGCAAGGACCCAAGTTCGATCCCTGGTACCAAAAAACAAAAACAAAAAACCCCAAAATTAGATAGTCAATCATCTCTATATTTAACTTAGTAATACTATTTATTTTTACCCCAGTTTGGATAACTAAGAGTGGTTGATTCTTGTGGAGTTTTAAAATAGCAATATGATTCATGATGTCAGTTTACTTGGGCCAGAATTAATAGTTGCCTTATCTGTTTTTCTAGATATGTTGGTCCTCTTAGTTTCCTGATCTGCATTTTCATTTGCAAATTGTTTTTGTAAAATTCCAGATCCAAGAATAACTCAAACTACCCAATTGTCTGGCTCTTGGATGTAAGCACTGAGGTTTTGTTTTGCACTGCTAAATTATGTCCTTGACCCACAAAAGGTAGAAAATAGATTAGAAATATGGCATTAATTCATTTGAAACAAATCAGTGAATTTAATCAATTTAACATTGTCACAAAGAGAAGTATATAGCAGTTAATGCTGGGTGTGGTGTTGCACATTTGTAATCCTGACACTAGACAGGCAGCCAGCCAGCCTGGGCTATGTAGTGACTTCAAGGCCAGTTTGAATTACACAATGAGACCCTGTCTCAAAAAAAAAACCCATTAATTAGTAAAATTAACAGTGAGAATCTTGGAACCATTTTCAACTGTTAATCTTTTTATAAAAGAATATGCATGCCTGTTGAAATTTTAGAAAGTCTATACAAGTAAATTCAGCTATCAAAAGAGATTACTTTTTAACATTTTGATATACTTTCTTTTAGTCATTTTGTTGTGCCTATATTATATAATATATTTAACTGATACGCATATAACTG